TCATTGAAGTTCAATGTCTTTTGGGCCTCACAACAAATTCCCGTTTCTGTTATCAGAATGAACAATTGTGAGAAATGTGTCATGTACATCCCGAAAAATATACAAAAACAGTTAGTATGCATTTGGTGGGTAGTTATGGTCTTTTTATTTCTGTAATTTTGTTTCGACCTCTCGTGTGGCATATGCGTATGGTCAAAGTGCATCTTGACAATTTCTTATAGTGTCTTTATCACAAATGCTCTTTGAAATTAACTCCATCAATCATGATGGTCATTGAAATTGAAAATCGATCAATGTAATCTCTGAATATTAACCCCGTGAATCAATATCGTTCTTCCGTTAGTGTTCCGTTCAAATCAACGTTAAAAAAGAACACGTAACAATTTTTTTCATGGTAAATGACAATAATACCCTACTAATCCTATTCCTCCCTTCCCACTTTTTCACTTGTCCGACCAAATCCCTTACTTTTCCTCACTCTTCCTCATTCCTCCTCCTTCTGCGAATTCTTTTCTACATGAGATTCAATGAAACCTATTAGATTCGACTAAATTAAAGGATTGTCAGGAATAATTCGAGTTTGGTTGTTTGTGAGGATGATTTAGGTTGATTGCGATGCCAAAAATATATCGAAAAAAAGGGAAAGTCTCCACAATATGTGAGTAAATCGAATCTCCTTTAGTTTTTGAGTTTGTTATCACTTTTAGTGGTCCCAATATGGCTTTTTGCTCGGTTTGATAAATGGGTGTTGTTTTCTTGTGAAATTTGTCAATGGGTTGTTTTGTAATGTCGGTGTTTGAGGGTTTGAAGTGGGTTTAGACTTTTCTGCTGTCCCAATGTATATGTTTGTCACTTTGTGTTAAATTCTTCCATTGTCCTCCAATCAGGAACAACACTAGCCAAACCCAATAAATTAATTATGCAAACAATTTATGATAATAAAATTGAAGGAACTTAATTAAGTTGATGGGGAATGACTAATTAGCATGTTCTTCGCATTCCTCTCAAGCTTAGAGTATCCATATCCTTTTTTCATAGATTTGACAATACCCTGCTCTCAATTTCCTTTTCCTAATTTAATGGCTTCTCTCTCTTTTAGGTTAAATAAAGAGATGATTTAACTTGAAAATATTCTAGTTGTAATGCTTTAATATTAGTTCAATATTAATATGTAAGCGTCTTCCCTCTCTTTACATTTAACTATCACATTTGATTAACTCTTGGCTGAAAATTTAGCTTTGAGAACTACTAAGAAAGAATTGCACATGATTAATTATAGGAGAAGAATTTTTTGTTGCATAAATACAAGGAACGAAACATAGTAGATTTTGATGCATGCCACTTATTCATTCTAAGTGTAACATAATTTTGACTTCAATTGTATGTCTTGTAGCTAATTCGGGCTTTTTCATATATAAAATTTACCATGAAGGTCAGTTGATTAAAAAGGGATGCAAAGAAGTATACACAAGGATGAGGTTATATTTTTCAATTGGGTTGATAGTGACATGCAATCATTGGTAGAATGTCACAATATTGCAAAGGACCTAAAACACGAGGAGTTAGCACGGTATAAGTTTTCGTAGAAGAACTTTTGCTTTTTAAGTGTTTTAATTAAAAACCACTATATGTAATTTTTATTAGAAATGAGATTGCTTCTTGGAGAGTTCTGATAAGTTTTCGTCAATTCATAATTGTTTTCAGTTTTCTTAAATTGCTTTAAGTTTGTGAGAGTTTTGCACTTGGTTAAGAATAACTTACCTTTTACATCTGAGGTCTTAAGTTCATTCTTCATCCTCCAATAACGATTGTATTGAAAAAATTCCTTAGCTCGCCTGGTAACTTTTTACAAAAGCAGTTTTCTACAAGCTATTTGGAAAAATGAAACGACTAATAGATATTTGCACTTTGGAAAAAATAGAGATAGTTATGGGATCCACTTCGCATCGAACTTTAATAATCTGAACTATTTATGTTGCAAGTCTTGATCCACTGATCATCTTTGCAAAAATTCAATTTAATCTAAAACAATTTGCCCATTCGATTGTCACGGTGAAATTTCAATGTTTCTTAAATCACAATGTTCATTAGCTTATTTGAACTCAATTAGATGCCCCAAAATTTTCCGTTTTGGCTAATATTTTGTAAGAACGATCTATAAGGTGCAACTTGAAAAACAGACAAGCCATATCATTGAAATTCGATGTCTTTTAGGCCTCACAACAACTAATCACCCTTTATGTTATCAGAATGAAAAATCGTGAGAAATGTGTCCCGTACATCTAAAAAATACAAAAACAGTTACTTGTTATATAAATGTAAAAGTTAGAGAGATAACCTTTATAGTGAGTGGACCGAAGCAGAGGTAAAATATCACACTGTAATTAAAACACAAGGAGATGGCAAATTAAAGAGGGAGGAATGGATGATATTATTGATCTGTTTGTTTTCTAACTGTTTTTCCGTGCGTTTGTTGTAGTTGGAGCGCTCTATTTATAGAGCAGCTCCATACACACAATTTCTTACAATTTGAAAAACTTACATCGCATATTTTGACAAAACACATATTTTGTTTCCATAGTCTATGTCAACATTTATGAACATGACAATACAGCCATTGTTGAATATCCATATTTAATCCAAGAAATTTTGCTCGGTTACTATGACCTAGGGTTGGAGAAAAAAAAACACACGATACATAAGTGTTTGTATTAAATAAGATATTTTAATTTATAATTAGAATAATGATAAACATACATAAATATAATGACATATTACGGTTACATTGAAAAATCTCTCTGATGCGGCTGGGGCTCACGCCAGTAGTTCACCATTTTATCCCTAAGCCAATAAAAGCCCACTTCAATAACTGAAATTGGCGAGACTTAAGCTTTCTCAGTCAATCATCACATACCTTGTTTTGCCAATCCCAAATCACTCCAGAAATATTTTCACAGAAAAAATCAATGCTGGAAAAATTGCTAGAAAAACAAAGTGAGGTAAAGAAGACAGAAAGAAGAGGATCTTGGGTTGGGATTCTTCATACGGCCATTGCAAGTTCCATCCAAGCAAAGAAGCTTATCGACATCTCTTCAAGCTGTTCCGCTCTTTCACAAAGTTTAAGTATAAATCGTTTTTTCTTTATTTTTATTTTTTGCTCCTGAATACATCAATTCATATTTTACCTTGACTCTCTACGTTTATTTGACGCTTGTTGCATATGTAAATTTCTTGGTTTAAGTTTGTTTGATTACAATTGGTTAATGCTAGTTTTTTACATTGGGTGACATCATTGCTTCTGTTAATTTGAAAGTCAAATTAACTCCCATGTTATTTGCACTATTATTGTAATTTGACCCTTGTGGATCATAGTAATAGCAGCATTCTTATAGATTTGAGCGTGCGTTGGAATTTTTCTTTGGGTGTCTGTTTTTTGTGTATTTGTAACATGAATGCTTCTGTTCAGTAAATAAATATTGTAACCTGCCCTCTAGTTTATTTGCATGCTGCTTTTTCATTTATGTGTCGGGTTAAACAGCCATACCTATAAAGTAAATTATTGACTGTTCAAATGGCATCTACATTGTTATTGCTTTACTCTGGGGCTTCTGACGGGGATTTTTGGAAACAACTTCTGGAGATGCTCCACAACTGTATACCTTCCCTTAGTGTTCCCAATGGAAGTTCATCACTTTTGAGTGCTTATAAATTTCCTTTGATAATCAATGGCTGTTGATCTTGATAGCAAGGTTAAGTTTGTCCCTCAGCAGAAAATACAGGTTCCAAGCAGCAATCTATGTTAGTATCGGATCTGGAGCTATGAAGACAGTGATGATGACAACAAGAACTATCTAACATCTTTTTCCATTGATTCACAAACAATATAATTTCATGCTGAAAATTTGTTGAGTTATAGTCCTATGAGTAGATTATCTGACTTTCTTAGACTCATGAGTAGCACTTTATAGCTTATTTGGAAAGAACCTCTTTTATCCTTATATCAATCCTTAAGTGGGTCTTTGTCATTTTTGAGTTTTTTGTTCCTTTGCATTCTGAATATAGGACCTTCACTTTTGATTAATGGACAGCTGCATTTTCTTAATTGCAATGAAGCATCTAATATTTTCTGCTTTTTTCGTCTGTTGGAGAGATTCTCTTTAAGTTAACTAGAAAACCTATTTTGAATGTAATCAGAAACTTAATGTTTCCATTTGCTCTAGTAATCCCTTTCTTTTGTTTTTCTATTTCGCCATTTTGGGAATAAATATATTTTGGAAAATTTACGATCAAGTAGGTTTTAGTCATCCGAAAAACATTAGAAATACATGAATAAAGAAAGAATTTTTTGTTTAGAAATGTTGAACCCTGTTTAATACATGAGGGAGTTCTGCTGCAATGGCTTGCTATTCACCTACTGGGTATATTCTCTCTCATCTTTGAGTTACATACGTAATTTTAGACTTTATTTGTTTTTTTTTTTGGGAAAGGCGCACTTTGAATTCCAACATCTTAAATTGATTTTTCCCTAATATTCAAGATTATTCCCTCCCTTTATCTAGATTGTTTACATTGGTTAGAGATGAAAAATTCTGGATAACTGAAGTCACATATTATCTTTTTTCATTTTGTGATCTTGATAATCACATGTTGATTATCTTGAACTGATATTCGGTTACTATTGTTGCTTGGAATGGAAAGGCGCACTTAATTCCAACAACCTCTTAAGTTGATATCTAAATTGGTTCAAGCATTATGTTACCCTCCCTATTCACTCTAGATTGTTACTTTGTTAGGAGATGAAAAATTCTTGAAAACTTATCACAATATCCTTTTGTTCATTTTGTGATCTGTAATCACCTGTTGATATCTTGAACATGAGTTTCGAGTTCCATTGTTGAATTGGATCTCTGTTTATGATCTTCACTGCCCTTAATACAAAACAATCGAAGTATCATTGTGGGAACAACTTAGTTAAATTGTGTTGGTTAGATTGCAAATGCTAGTTTGCTCTTCAGTTTTAATTGAAGAATACTCGGTTTCTTGCTTAAATTGAACAGGTTCTGTTGGGTTCAACCGGTGCTCTTACACTTATGACAGTCCTGTCTGTCATTATTGGGCGAATATTTAACTCGGTCCCTGCTCAATTCCAGACAAGTAAGTTGTAATTCTTGGCATTTTTCATCCAGAACATATTTTCTTGACAAGTAAGTTTCCTAATGTTAGTTATGTAGGACATTTATCTTTGATACGTATCCAGTGAAAGGATGTTAATGTACTGCTATCAGCAGATCAGTTAGATATTCACTGCTAATCAGCTTCCCAATCAACATTTTTATAAAGATAAAGGTATAGTCTAAATGACTTCCCTCCCCCATCCTACGGTCCCTAATCAACATCGTTAATGGCATTTACCAACTTTATCATTGTTTTCAAATACAATGCTAGCTGGTTTGTTGTCTATGTTGCATTGCGTGCAACGTATCTTGTTCTCACTCGCTTGTCTTAGTTGATAATGTCTACCAGATAGCCTAAAAAGATCTTAAACAAAGACACATTATTCTCGTGACTCAATTTTGATCTACTCAGAAATGATCTCGAGTTCAACCACGCCGACCTTTTGGGGACTCTCCTAGTGGTATTGGGGTTCTTTCTAGTATTTGTTGGTACTTGGTATAAGTAAACAGGAGGATTACATGTGTTCAGGTGCTCATAGGAAATGTAATACTCTACACATATACTTATTTATGGCTTTCTCTTGGGTAAAATCACAAACTCAATATAAATGAAGTTTGAACAGAAAATGATGTCAGAGTGCTAAAATTTCAAGGAAAAAAAGGGTGTAATTTTGTAAATAGACTAAATGGACATCATCTTCATCGACTTTGATATCAATAAATCCTAGTTCTCGCCCATAATTCTACCTGAAACCCACCACATCAGAGAAACCAAATTCCAAATTACCCGTAGATGCCGCTGCTGCATTAAAGCCAGTGTTAAATCATCAAAGGTGCCTATAGATTTTATGTACAGAACTTGAATTTTTAGATAAAGCTCTCTCCTCTTTTGATGAATGAATTATTATGAATTTGTATGCGCTTGGATGGTAAGAGATGGATGATTAGTCATACATTTCCATTCTGAACTCCTTCCGTAGTTGGGTATTTCCAGTGTGTGTCAACAAGTTTAAACTATACTTGTGCTTGATGTTTTAATATTATACAAATCTAAACTCTATTTTACATTCAGTCTCCTCATCGTTTTATTATTTCGTGGTCATGCCTACAGCCTTGCCAATTGGAGAATATGCTGCCGTAACTCTTCTGCTATTCTTTGGTCTCAAATCAATAAAAGATGCATGGGACCTGCCATCCAGTGATGTTAAAAATGGTGATAAAAGCAGCCCTGAGCTTGATGAATACACCGAAGCCGAGGAGCTTGTGAAAGAGAAGGTAGTCTAGTTATTCACAAGTTTACATGTATCAGGCTTTGTGCGGTCGTATATTTTTCCAAGTCCATTTTAGACTGTTCTGTTCTTATTCATTCTTATTGTTTTGTACTTTCTCAGGTGTCAAAGCGGCTCACTAATCCATTTGAAATTGTCTGGAAATCATTCACCCTCGTATTTGTTGCCGTAAGCATATTTCCCTTATCTGCAGCAACATCAAATGTCTGCTTAGCTATCAAGTTTCCCAGACATGTCAGACATCATGGAAATCTTTGTTCTCCAACATTGTTGTGATCTTTAACTTTTAACCGCATATCAATGCGAATGGCAGTGCCTTCATATGCAATAAAATGGCAGAAGTTCCCTTGTACTAAAAGGAAACTTATGTCTACTGAACGAACAGTTGTGGCAGTCCCAATTTTTATACTAAAAGGAAACTGTAGTTATTTCCAGCTGTTTCATAACAAAAGATTTCAAACCTGACTATATTGGTTTTGCTTCTAGGAATGGGGAGATCGCTCAATGCTCGCCACAATCGCTCTTGGTGCTGCACAGGTTCAACCTTGTTTAGTTTCATAAAAGCATAAATCTTTCTTCCATGTTCAACTGGATCTTGATGATAGTTTCCTCTTGAATAGTCTCCATGGGGTGTGGCAAGTGGAGCCACTGCTGGACACGTACTTGCGACATCTATCGCTGTTCTAGGAGGTGCATTTCTCGCCAATTACATTTCCGAAAAACTGGTAAGAACCACAACTTTCCCGTGATATTAATAAATTTGAAAGCTTGCGGTTTGATGCCGTGTCACAATACTGCAAACTAACCGTATTTTCAATCAGGTTGGATATGTGGGAGGTGGGTTGTTTCTAGTTTTTGCGGTAGCCACATTTTTCGGAGTTTTCTGAAAGTTCTTGCTAGCTCAGGAGAGAGAGAGAGAGAGAGAGAGAGAGAGAGAGAGAGAGATATCAGTGCATTGAGAAAACATCGCTGCACGTGTGGCGGCCGAGGAGTAGTAATCGGAGAGATATAGAAGAGCTGAGGATGTGCTAGTGGAGTACATGCATTGCTGGTAGCCTTGTAGGGAACTTTATTCGTATCTGAAAGGTTTGTAATGAAATGTTTAGAAGTTTGGCAAGGGACGGGGCAGTGGCAGATGTTCTTTCATCTGCTCAGTGGCTTCTCTGGATGCTTTGTACTACATAACATAACGGTCCTCCAATTCCAGTGAACGCCATTGTTAGAAATTGAACGACAAAATTAACGGTCTTAATCACTTTTTAATCGCAGCTGTTGTCCCAGTGCTAGCTATGTTACAGATGCTGTTTATGTTTCGTAGTAGTGTTTTACGGTGAGTTAAGTGTGCTTATGTTTAGTGACAGCAAGTTAAGGGTACTAAAAACACTTTTTAGTGGTTTCTCGAGAAAGTGCCTAACATATGCTTCTTCAAGAAGCACTTCCAAGTTCTTTTTCAGAAGCAATTGACTTCCAACAAAGAATGTAATCAAGAGAGGTAAAAAGAAACACAAACTACTTTCCTTGTAGAGGGTGGAGGCAAGACATCACTTGTACAACAGGACAACTTGGTCAACTCTCAGCACAATGACTTGTAATTCATTTTACAACACAGTATAAACGATCATAGTGTCGCTAAAAATAATCAGCCCGTAGCAGTACTCTTCCAAAATTTTCAAATGTTGAAGGGCTGGGTAGCTTACATTATCTGTTTCTCCGTCTCTCGTGGGATTGAGGATCCATGTCACTCGTCTATGCATTGATGAGACCGGAATGTGCCATTTGAGAGCAATCTGACTAAAAGTCTCTCAAGTATTCTTGCTCGTGGACTAGGCCTCAAAATATCAGCATCCCCCCACACTGAACATGTGTCATTTGCAAACCCACCTAAACACCAGCCTCCAGGAACAACTTTTCCTCGTCTGCGTTTTAAAACTTCTCTGTCCACTCGGTCAAGGATTGGATCGTCTAACTGAAGTCCAGTGGCAAAGGCAGCTCCATGCTGAATCATAGCATCATAACCAGTGGAACTGATTGGCTGGGGCTTCTCTCTAGGGGGTGTGTCGGAATTAGCATATACCAAGTTGTGGTTTATGATAGTCTTATTGAACTGCTGGGAGTTGCAAAGAATGGTGGGGAAGTAATTCGAAAGAGCAGAAGGTGTGTTTGAGAAGTACATCAACAAAGTCCTTGGCAGGTTTTCAATACCAACAACACAAAATTCAATGAAATTACGACTTAGAATCGTAAAAGAAGAACCTGCAGAAAAAATCATAGCAGTTAGTTTGACAAATTTTTTCATTTGTACTAGAATAAAGTGCTCCTACTTGGTTTCCAAACGATCCCTAGCGCATACAGAAAAGAGAGAAGGGTAGCTTTTACATAACAGCGGTAAGAAAACAGTTACGAGTGAATTATCATAACAGTTTATATCTCCAAAGTAATAGTGTTTTCAGGATAGCTTACGGGCATCGCGGGAGCAATAACTGGCACGTATCACTTTTTCCATGGTCTCGGTCCTCCAAAAGCCTTTAGAAGTTACAAGTTAATAAATGGAAAAGAGTAGTCATTGCCGTATAGGCAATTACTCTTGAATCTATCCACAAGTTCAACCCAGGTATAAACATGATATTAACTTCTATACACTGTCTCTTTGTGACAACTCAACAGTTAACTTTAAGGATCTTGCATATTTACACCATCAAGATTTTTTAAGTAGCTCCTAAGTTGCATACTAGAATGATACGGGTCAACTCTTTCTTGCACCAAAGATCTTGCCATTTCCAAAGAAACTAGAGTTACATCTCTTTTCCATTTCCATTCAAGAATTCTTATGTGTTTCCACGCCCCTTCGAGACCCCGAAAAATGGACGACTTCCTTTTCTTAGGAACACATACAAGATTCGTCACTACAAAAAGGATAATGGTAAGGAGGGTACAAGGTTAGCCTATGAGCGGCAGGACAAGATGCGAAACTTTAGTGAGGAAGAGGCTCAAAGATCTTGAAAAAAGAACGAGTGAGGACGTGTCCAAACCCGGAAGGGCTGCTCTAACCAACTAAGCTAATAGGGGTGTGAAGGATACAGTTACTCATGATTTTTTTTTAATGCGAAAATAAATGTAGAGATGTTTGTGTTCATATGTGTATATGAAAGAGAGAGAGACCTGGTGTCTAATTGGAGAGGAATAGTGTATAGCATTTGATGGGGATGAAAAGAGAAATCGCTAGCTCTATGTTTGTTGATAACAAGGGGGAAATCAAGTTCTTCCTTATATATTTTGGCAGTTGACGCTATGGATTGGAAACCAACTCTATGTTTGTTGGTAACCAGTAATCAAATTTTTGTTCTGAACTCAAAGATAAAGCACCAAGTTGTTTACTTAAGTTGGGAACTCAAACTCACTTTGTAGGAGTGGCAATTGCAGGGCTTAAACTAGGTCCTCTCCGTTCATCTCAAGGCTCTCCACCACCAAAGGAAAAACCACTAGATTGCTGTTCAAGAATTGGTTCTTTCATTGCCAACATTAGTTTTATCCTAAACCACCAAAACATAGGTCTACAACATATCCCCTCAACATTCTTTACACAAATGACAGTGGGTAAGCAAACTGGAAGGATGTTTCCTTTAGGATTTGTTCCTATCTCAAGTAATGCAAGTGGAACCGACAAACCATTTAGGCTCAAGGGAATGTTTGCCTTAATACAATAAATGCTTGAAGAGCCCCATCCTCCAAAAAACGACATTGTGCTAAAACTATTAATTACTTAAGTCAACCAACATTAACTGACATGACCGGCCATGTTTAACTACCATTAGGATACCTGAGAATCCAGTAGTGGGACTGCTGATATAGCCTAATCATACAATTATACAAGCTCCCACCACTTTAAAATTATAACACTAACTGATGGGAGTACAGTAGATGGATAAATCTCAGTTAACTTTTGCAAGGCTAACCTAGATAGATTATTGATATTCATTCAGTTCCTAAACAACACATTGTATGCAATTGTAGCTCACACTAACTTACAGGCAATCGTTCTTTCCACATTACACTTTCCACTCTAATAAGTGAAATACAGGACTGAAATTAGGCAAAAATTAGTCAACAAAAAGAATAAAAGAAATGTACCTGTGAACAACCGGTAAGCATTAGGCAACACCCTTTTCTGTGTAGCATAAAACATGTCAGTTTTCTCCGAAAGATAAAGCCCCGGGTCAACAATTATCGGTCTCAATCTCCTAGACCTGTAGCACCAAATAAATACAAACCTCACACTCATTCACAGCATCCACCACAAAACTCGAGTAACGATAACATAAAACTCGAAATCAATAAACCAAGGAAAATGTTCGTACTCTCTCCAGCCGATATAACTTGAATGGTTCACAAAGTTTAGATCTTTCGGCAGGAATGACATAATGTGAAGAAGATCTGCAGAAGCCAGAAAAACCAATATAGAAAACCATACAAAAAAAATCAAAATTTACGAACAAAACACCAGAACTGTGAATTGAAATCCAATTAATGCCACGAATTGAAAGCATCCGAACCATCTTGTGTGATTAGTGGGTAATCACGAACACTGAGGCTGATAAACCAATCCCAATTGGGCGAAAGACGCAGCAGTATCGAGGCGCCATGGAGCGTAAAGGAGATAGCAGAAGAGCCAGTTGGGTACACAAAATCGGCATTACCAATGACATGGACATTCTGGGCAGCTCTGAAAATGGGCAGTGATTGGACTCTGAGAGCCAACTTTTCCCTCTCGGAATCGGAGGCAGAGCGGTCGAGGTGGAGGAGATACTGGTTTCTGGGTGGTAGGCGGCGTGGAGAAGTCTCAGGATCCGACCCAAGTCCCCTTTTGACCCGGATAAGAGGTAGGCGATGGAGGGAGGCGTGGGATCTGAGGAGTTGTTGTCGTGGTAGATGATGCGGTGGGCTTGCTGGTTGGGAAAGAGAAATGGGTCGGGTCGATAATGGCGGGAGGCAGCGGAGGAGGAGAATGACGAGGAGGAGGAGGAGGAGGAGAGGAAGAGGAGGAGGGCGAAAATGGAAAAGACGATGATGATTGAGAGGAGGGTTTTGGGGTCTTTGATTGAGAGGATGGGAATGGCAGCGGAGGAGGCGGTGGTGGGTGTGGAGGAGAGAAATGGAGACGGTGTTTGTGGTGGTGGCGATGGGGTAGAGTTTTGCATTGCTAGGTACTCTGAGAGTGTGGTGGATGGAGGACGATCCGATGACATTGAGGACGATCCTTTGGTGTCACGTGGTTCTCAAGTTCACTTGATTTGATTCTCACCGCCCACCAACTCTGCTTTTCTTTTTGGGTAAATTAGATAGTAACCCCTCAGGTTTGAGCTCTATTGCAATCTCATATAACATCTTTAAAATATTTCACTTTCATACCTCAAGTACTATTTTATTTCAAATTTCATACAACCGTTAGATTTTCCATCCATGGATATGTTAAATGCTGACGTGGCTGCCACATATATAACACGTGGCTGCCAAATGTCTGCCACGTGGCAAATAAAATAATTTTTTAATTTTTTTTAAAAAAAAACATATCTGCCATTTTTTTTTTCTCTTTCTTCTTTTTCTTCTCTCTCTTTCTTCTTCTTCTGGGTTCGGACCTTTTTTTTTCTTTTTTTCTTCTCCTCCTTCTTCCCCTCTCTTCTTCTTCCTCTTCTTCTCTTCTTCTTCTCTTCTTTTTTCTTCTTCGGTCCCTTTCTTTTTTTTTTTTTTTTTTCTCTATCTTCTTCTTCTTCTTCTGGGTTCGGACCTTTTTTTCTTTTCTTCTTCTTCTTCTTCTCCCTCCTCCTCCTCTTTCTTCTTCTCTTCTTCTTCTTCCTCCTTCTTCTTCTGGGTTCGATCCTTTTTTTTTTTTTTTTTTTTTTTTTTTTTTCCTCTTTCTTCTTCTTCTTCTCTTTCTTTTTCTTCTTCTTCTGGGTTCAGACCTTTTTTTTTTTTTTTCTTCTTCTTCTTCTTCTTCTTCTTCTCTCCTCCTCCTCTTTCTTCTTCTCTTCTTCTTCTTCCTTTTTCTTTTTCTGGGTTCGGTCCCTTTTTTTTTTTTTTTTTTTTTTTCTTCTCTTCTTCTTCTCTTCTCTTCCTCCTCCTCCTCCTCCTTCTTCTTCTTCTTCCTCCTTCTTCTGGGTTCGGACCCTTTCTTTTTTCTTTTTTTTTTTCTTCTTCTTCTTCTTTCTCCTCCCTCCTCTTTCTTCTTCTTCTTCTCTTTCTCTTTCTTCTTCTTCTGGGTTCGGACCTTTTT